ACGAAGCGTCGGAGGTGTGCGCCGAACTTGAGCGGCAATGCCATCCAAACTTTTCATTTGGGCCTTTGGCGGGGCTCCCCATGGGGCCGCGGAACGTGTGAGGTGTGCGCCGAAATTGGGTGGCGGTGCCATGCGAACTTTCCCACTGATGCCTTAGGTGGAGCTCTCAATGGGGTCGCGAAACGCGTGGGGTGCGTGCCGAAATGAGGCGGCGGCGCCACGCAAACTTCCCCACTGAAGCCGAAGGTCGGGTTCCCAAGGGGCCGCGGAACGTGTGCGGGGTGTGCCGAAGTGGGGCGGCGGTGCCATGTTAGCTTTCCCACTGGGGCCTTAAGCAGAGCTCACCATGGGGCCGCGAAACGTCTGAGTGGTGCGCCGAAACAGATACATGCGGAGGGCAGGGGCGGGGATGGGAGGAGCGAGGGAGGGGGGAGGGGGAGGAGGAGGGCGAAGTGAGCGCGGAACGCGGGGCGCTGTCTCTGCAAAACGAGGACCCAACACCGCGAGATGGTTGAGAATGAAGGGCACCTTGCGCCGCCGCTTCCGTGGCTGCATTTTCCAACCCCGCTCCCCCATCCCCCCTCGCCCTTTCTCTCTTCGCCCTCCCCCTCTATCCTGCGTCCAATCCCCCTCCTTCTCCCTCCCTCCCCCAATCCCCCCCGCGCATCATGCCCCAATCCCTCAGCCACCCCCTCCTGGAAGGAAGGGGTGGGGCTGAGGAAAAACAGGGTGGATGGGGGAAGGGGGGGGGAGAGCGAGGGATGAGGAAGGGGGGGGGTGAGGAGGCATCTATGGCGACGTGCAGGCCAGGCGGCCAGGCGGCGGCGGCAGCCAGGCGGCGGCCGAGCCGCGGGGCCCTCCCCGTTCCTTCCCTCTCCCCCGCGCCCTTCCTTCCACCCCGCCCACCCTTCATTTTCAAGCAATGTCCTTTCTACTTCCCTCCCTCTGTCTCTGCTGCGTCTCCTCTTCTTCCCCCCCCTTCCGCTTCCCTTTCACTTCCCCTCTTCCGTTTTCCGCCCCCCGTGTCTCCTCCCACTTTCTCTTCTTGTGCCCCCTGTCCTCGGTCTCCTCCTCTTGCCCCCTGCCGCCCAGTTTGCTCCCTTGCGAATTCCGCCCCCCCTCCCCCTCCAAGTCAGTTGCTATTTTGGCCCAAACCCTCGGCGTGTTTTTTGGGGGGCTGGAGCGGCATGGCCTCGCCGCGCCGCGGCGGGGCCTCGATCCTCCGTAGTGGTGGCGGAGCCTCGCCGTTGTGCGCCGCGGCGGCGTCGTCTCGCTGCGTGGCCGCGGCGCGTTTGTTTCGTGGCGCGCTCGCGGATCGGTGATCGGTCCCCTGCGTATTTTTCCGATAGTTTTGTAAGTAATATTTTTGTAGTTCTTGTTTGTACATCTTGCATACATTTTGCTTAGTTTCGAGGGTTTCTCCTGGGGAGGGTATTGTCGCGGCCGCTGAAGTCACAAAGTTAGCGGAGTAGCGGCAGAGCAATGTTTTGATGTGTTTCCTGACTTCCTGCAGATCCTCAGAGATATGGATGTCCCTGATCCCCAGGATGCGTCGGACTCGCAGTTGGTCGAGGCTTCCACCAAACGGGCCTTCGACGGGCTGAAGCAGCATGGGGTGGGCAAGCTCGTCAAACGGAGCGAGGCCGCCGGCGAGAGGATCAGCGCCCGCTGGGGCCATGTCTACAAGCGGGGCGCGAACCTCGGATGGGGGATCGCTAAGTCAAGGTAAGTCGCGCGAGACTTCAAGTGCGGCAGGAGTGCCGCGACGACCTCTTTCACGCCAGGGAGCAGCATGGTCGACAGCCGAGTGGTGGACTATGTGGCTCTGAAGCACGGATGGCCCACCTTCACCGTAGACGCGGAGGACGCGTGCTACCGTGTCCCCGAGGAGGAGGACGCGCGGGTCGAGTGCCCACCCGAAGTCCTGGAAGAGTGCCGCGCGATGGGGCGACGCTGAGGACTGCGTTTGGCAGCTCGCGAAGCAGTTGCCAGGACGGCGCGCTGGATGGAAGCACTGGGTCGATTTCGCCGCGGGGCAGCTCATTGCCAGAGGCTTCGGGCGGTCACCGACCGCGCCCCAGTTCTCCTGGCACGCCGTGCCCCCATGTCTGGCGGGGCTGCACATGGGCGACATGCGCGGCGCAGCGCCTGGAGTCGCAGGGTCCGGCTTCGTGCTGGATCTGGGCCGAGATATCAAGGCGAAGAGGTCAGGCCCACAGGGCGACGGTGCCGTCTACGAGTTTCTCAAGGGGCGGCGCGTGCGAGAGGCTGGCGCTACCTACGTTCAGCCCAACGAGAGGTACCTCACAATGGCACTGGGGGCGCCGGGCCTTGAGGAGGGCAACCCGTGCGACACCCCAGGGGTGGAGGCGCGCAGGACAGGCGTCGGCGACGCGCCCGACCTCAGCCCAGACCAGACCAGGCTGTTCAGGAGAGTGACCACGCGCCTGCTGCTCTACCTTCATGACCGCGAAGATGCTCAGCACGACATGAATTACCTGACCTCGTGCATCTCATCGCCCCGTGAGGCGGACATGCGAGCCCTCAAGAGGGTGGCGAGGTACCTGAAAGGGCACGAGGGACGTGGGCGTGAGGATGGCCAAGACCACCGCGCCGCGGGACATCGTCGACCAGGTCGCGTGGACAGACTCCGACTGGGCAGGCGACGCGAAGGAGCGGCAGAGCCAGACCAGCGTGCACCCCACCGCGCGTGGGCGCCCAATGCTCGGGATCAGCTGTCGTCAAGACGCACAGCCCCGTTATCAGCTGCGAAGCCGAGTGGCACGCTGGAGCTCGAGGTCTCAGCGAGGGACTTTGGCTGAAGGCGCTCTTCGCGCTCATGGGCTGCAGCGTGCGCATGAGCTGGCGAGGTGACAGCTCGAGTGCGAGAGCGCTGGCGAGGCGTCAGGGCACCGGGCGGATCGCGCACCTTGCCACCAAGACGTTTTGGATTCAGCAGCTGGTGGCCAAGAAGGTCATCAGCATCGAGCATGCAGCTGGCGACGACAACTTGGCGGATCCCGGCACAATGGTGTTGCCGAGGACACGCCCCGAGCGGCTCCGCGAGAGCCGCGGGTTGAAGGAGGTGCCCGTGCCAGGGGCCTCGAGGGTAGCTGGAGTCGGGGCCATGCCGACCGACGTCCAGGGCCAGTCAACCCTGTTGACGAGGTGTTGTTTGCAGTGGGTGCGTCGCTCCCCACGGCGCAGGGAAGCTCGACCGAGCTGTGCGAGGCGCCGCAGGGTGGGCGAGAGTGCGCTGACTCCAGCGGCCATGCCAGGAGTCACGACTGAGGGCTACTACGGGAGCCTGACTGTGCTGATGGCGGGCGCGAGCCTAGGGCTCCTGCTTGCTTCGCCCGGGTATTCCTTGACTTGCTGGTTTTGTCCGTGTGCGAGGCCGAGTTGGTGCCGCGCGGGTGTCCTGCCGCGCGGCGACGACGGCGGGAGGCTACGGCGCGCTCCGATCGAGGGGCCGAGCGAAGCAGCAGTGAAGCTCGAGACTAGGAAGGGCGACCGCAGAAGGACGGTGGCCACCCAGAGCCAGGTCAAGTATATTTGGTGGACGACGAGCCCCCTTTTTCCAGCCTCTGGGGCCGAGAAAACAGGGGGTGTGGTCCGAGTAGGGCCTTGAGCCGCGCGCTGTTTAGATGCGCCATGGGCGCGAGTCTAGACCTCCGCGACTACGCGTCGAGGCACTGCGGGCTTTAAGTTTCGCTTTCTAGGACCCTGGGGGGAGTGGTGACCCGAGGGGCGCCCGAGGAGGAGCGGGTTCACCGCCCGCCCCCGCTCGGCCAGGCGGCGTGCTCGGGATCTTGAGTGATTTGGACGCCGTCAATTCGTAGCATGCCCGCAGGCCCTTTTGTTCGAGCTGCGTTGGAGGAAAAAGAGCCTCAATATACGCTTTCCCCATACATCCGCGTAACTTCCGCCAGACACCGCGAGCCATCGCTGGGAGGCCCCAAGACTCCCCAAGACGGCTTCCTGACGCCCTGGAACGCCCCCAAGACGTTCCAAGAGGGCTTCCAGAGGCCACCCGAGATCGCCCCAATAGGCACAACTCATAGATTTTCGTATCGTTTTCCCGCCTTGTGAGACTCCGCAGTTCTCGCCTTGTCAGACTCCGAATATTTCAGACGGCCCAGGGAACAACCACGAACACCGAAAAGGGCCCGCGAGGCGCCCAAGAAGTCCCCCAGAGGGCCCGAGGACAGCCCAAGGCGGCTCCAACGCAGCTCGAGAGGCGTTCCAACGGGTTCCACGACGGCACAAAGCGGGGGCCCAGAGAGGCAAACTGACGGACAATCCGAGCTTCCCACCCCAAGAGGCCCCTTGAAGTCTCCACGAGGCCCCCGAGAGAACCCAAGAGGCTCCCAAGACGTCCCCAACAGGACCAACAACTGGTCCCAAGAGCTTCCCTAGAGGCGTCAAAACTGATTCCACGGGGCGAACATCGCCGCCGGACAGACCCCCGAAGAGGTCTGGGGACCCATGCCGAGCCGATGTCGAATTCTGGGGTCGTCAGCGCCGCCGCCGCCGCCGCCGCTGTGGTCGTCGCCGTCGTCGTCGTCGTCGCCGCCGTCGTCGTCGTCGTCGTCGTCGTCGTCGGCGCCGTCGTCCAGGGGCGGGCCCAGAACCACGGCCACGTCGTGGCATGGGGGCCCCGGGCGGCCCAAGGGCTCCCTGGCGGGGGCCCTGAGGATTTTCGGACGGCTCCAGAGGCCGCCAGGACCAGCCCAAGACCCCCCCAGACCCCCCGCAAGCGTTCCGAGACGCGCCAAGATGGCCTCAAGAAGAACCAAGGGCCACCCAAAACGCCCAAACAGGGCTCCATGAATTCTAATTCGTTTCGTTGCCGCGAGGAAAACGAACGTTTGCAGCACATGCGATTTTCGTGTTTCCATGGCGAAGCAAACGCCCCCCCCGAACCGCCCCAAGACGGCCCAAAAAGAGGTTTACCAGAGAGTCCGAAGACGGCCCCAGAGAGCCCCAAGACGGCCCAAGAGGCGCCCAAGACGGCCAGAAGAAGGCCCCAAGAGGGCTTCAATACTGCCTCATTAGCGGGTTTGGCTCAAGTCATTAGGGCTCAGACCTACGGTATCCCCGTCCAAAAGTGTTTCTTCATGGCTGCGGCGGCGAACCAGGCAGTGACAAGCATGTGCGGAAAGGAATTCCAACCTCCAGCTCGGGTGGGCATCGACACGGGTTTGATGGGCGCTGATCCCGAGATCCACGCCATCAACGGGGCAGAGCTGGTGGATGAGAAGGAGGAGGCGGAGGACCAAGGCTCGGGTACGTCAGAGGAGGTGCAGGACCAAGGCCGACACCGCATGGCACGCGGCCGAGAGCGGCAGGACCGTACCCCTTCCCCGATGGCAAGGGTCCGCGTCGACGGCACCTCCGACATGATGCTGGCAGAGCTCAGCGACGTCGGCTGGGAAACCCGGGCCATGCGCCAGCGGCAGGCGCAGATTACCATCCGCGTCCGGAGGCTGGTGCGCGCCGAGCAGAACCGCACCGTCACCATGCTGGAGCGCCGCCTCTGCGGGCTGGTTTTCAAGAACCTCTGCAGACAGCCCTTCGCCAATCTGCCCCTCGTGGGCGGGGAGTCCGCGGGGCGTAAGCGCACACGCGAGTAGGCGCAATGCAGAGTCAAGCAGCGACGGCTGTAGCAGCGAGTTAGCGCACGTCCCGCAGGCATGGGCTCTGTACAGGTCTGGTTTTCGCTTGGCGCGCGGGTGGCGCACGTGAATCCTGCAGGCTGGTAAAATATGTTGGGTGCAATTGCCAGTTCATGTTTAAATGTCACCGTCAATTCAGCGGCAGGGGAGTTCAGGCTCTGAGCTCCGTGACTCTGGCTCCTCGGGCGGCCCTTTCGCCGACACGTCGTGGGCATACTCTCCTGGCCTGGCCATGGGGGCAGGCCCTGTCGTGGTGTGGCCTGTGTAGCTCTGTCTGTGCAGGCATCGGCGCCGCCGTCATTTAGTCGGCGGCATGTGGCCGGAGCTTGCGCTCACGCGCCAGTAGTCGGGGCCTAAGAGACGGGGGTCAGTGCAAACGGGGGTCAGCCAGAGCGCCAGATTCTGCAGGATTCTGCGAAGACCCGCTCTGGCTGACCCGGGTTAGCGAGCCGCTCGTGGCCGCGAGGCGGCCGCGCGTATTGGCTGACCCGGGTTTGCGAATACCTGCGTTGCAGTTTTTTTTGTTTTTGCATTGCAGTTTTTGGTTTCCTGCTGACCCGGGTCTGGATCGACCCGGGTCAGAAGATCCCCGAAGATCCTAGAAGATTCCCGAAGCAGCGACGGCTGCAGCAGCGGGTTGGCGCACGTCCCGCAGACGTGGGCGCAGTACAGGTCTGGTTTTCGCTTTGCGCGCGGGTGGCGCACGTGAATCCTGCAGGCTGGTAACATATTATTGGTGTAATTCTATGGTTCAAAGCCGCCGTCAATTCAGCGGCAAACTTTGATAGTCGTCGGCAGCGTCCTCCTCCTCCTCGTGCTCCATTTCTCCCCCTTCACTCCGTTCACTGCCACCCACCTACGGTGTTTGATTCAATGCTCGGGGGCCCGCTTGCGGCAAGACCTACTCGCGAGAGTTCAGTCTCTGTCCGCTTTGCACGTCCTCATCTGCAGGGTACAGCTCGACTCCCGCAGAACCCTGCACTGCACTGCACTGCTTTTTGTCCGCGACTTGGACCTCGAAGGGCAGTGAAGACTGGCATGATTCGGTTAAAAATCGCGGGCTTCAAGACTGCCTCAGAGAGCCCCTCAGACCACCAGCGGGCCCCAAAAGAGGGCCCTCAGAGGCCCCAAGAGGCCCCTTGCAGCCCTCGAGCGTGGCGGTGGCTTCGCTCTGTCGCAGCCCCCCAGGGATGGCGAGGTCCCGCTTGGGTCCGCGTGGGGCCCCACTGTGCGGGCTCCCCCTGCAGCCCAGGGGAGAGCCCCCCAGGGATGGTGAGGTGCCGTTTGGGTTCGCGTGCGGCCCCATGGTGCGGGCTCCCCCATCGGCCCTCGAACGTGGCGACAGTTTCACATTTCGCAGCCCCCAAGAGAGCTGCCATAGGAGGGCGCCGAGAGGAGAGCGGGGGGGGCGAGGAGCAGGAGGAGCATGAGAAGGTGGAGACCCCACTGCTCTATCCAAAACGAGAACTCAACCAAGGGAGTGTCGGGAAAAGGGGCCCCGCCGACCTCACGACCAGCCAGCCCCCTTTTCCCAACCATTCTGTGGTGTTGGGTCGTCGTTTTGAAGAGACAGCACCCCGCATCCTCCCCCTCCTCCCTCGTCCCATCCTTGCCTCTGTCACCCGCATGTTTCTGTTTCGGCACAACTCTCACACGCTGCGTGGCTCTTCAGGGAGGTCCACCGAGGGCACCAGTGGCCGCGGTCGCACGGCACCACCACAAGGATTTCGGCACACCCCTCACACGTTTCGCGGCCACATAGGGAGCTCCACCCAAGACCGCAGTGGCTGCGCTCGCATGGCATCACAGCACCCATTTCACCACACCCCTCACACGCTTCATGGTCCTACAGGGGGCCCCAGCGGCTGCGCTCGCATGGCACCACGGCGCCCACTTCCGCACACCCCGCACGCTTCGTGGCCCCATGGGGAGCTCCACGGAGTGCCCCCTGTGGCTGCGATCGTATGGCGCCACCGCGCCCATGCCGCCACACCCCTCACACGTGTCGTGGCACCACTGGGAGTCCCACCGAGGGCCCCAGTGGCTTCGCTGGCATGTGGCACCACGAACGGGAAGGGGATTTCTGTGTGGATCATGCATGAAACGGTACACCAACACCCATGTTCATTTCAACATCATTTCCGTCACCGTCAAAAGTTCACTTTAGTTTCCAGGCCAGCGTGGCGCTTTTTCCGATTGTGGACCATACAGAAGTCGCCATGAGCTCGCGCACGCGCGGCGGGTGACCCGCCCACCGTGCGGCCCGGCGTTCACATCAGTTCCCATACCAACATGGCGACTAGCCGATTGTGCACACTGCAGAACTCCGCGCGCGTGGGGTGCCTTGTGGTGTCCATCGTAGGATATTCACGTCCAAACGAACGTTAAGTTGGAGACCCAATCGGTCAGTGTGCAACCTGTGATAACAGCCGTAAGCCTTGACAGCCCCCGACGCTGCGGAAGGCCTGCCAAGGGTTACCAAGGTTTGACATGTGCTATCATACCAGATCTTGCCAAGGTCTTGCCATGCGTTGTTTATGAGGAAATGTAGGGTCAACGACTGCAAAACTAAAACACTGAAGCATGAAACACACAACTCGAGACATCGCACAGCATTAAACATAACGAACGTCAGGGAACATCGTGACTTACGGGAGTTCGGGTCTGCTGGATTGGCAGCAGGGTTGCCGTCGGCGAGCAAGCGTCAACGAAAAAAGGGTTCGGCCGATGCGTTCGCCACTCCCCGTCCAGGAGATGCGCGGTGGAATGCTAGCAGCCGGTTGGCCGTCGACCGTTCGCGTGCAGCCCGACAGGAGGGCAGTCGCTGTTTTGAGCAAGCTTCTGATTGCGTGCAGCCGAATCCCCAAAATACTACTGTGCTGTTTTTGTGTCCGGCCGTGGGGAACAGGGGCGGGCGCGCCCGGCGCGAATTTTGTCCAAGGGAAGTACCGCTCACGTTGGAACAGGAGTACAGCCACGAAGACCCTCCAGAGGATGAGGAGGAGGAGGAAGGACCAGGTTTGTTTTTTTTTTTTTCGTCTTTCTTTTGCCTGGCGTGCCTGACGTTCGATTAGTTTTGTTTCTTTTTCTTGCGTTTGTTTTTTTTTTTCTCTTTTTTTCTGTTCTTTTTTTGTTCGCATCGTTTTATTCTTCTTTCTTTCGAGTTTTTTTTTTTTTTTCGTTTTTTTCTTTTTTTCCGAGGACGGGGAGGAGAAGGAGAAGAGAGGACGAGGGAGGTGCAGGGAGATGCGGAGGGAAGAGGAGGGGTGAATCTCTTTCTGCGATTCTTGGGCAGGCGAGGCAGACCACTAGACTTCGGAGACTTTTGTTAAACCAGCGAGTATGGAAGTCAGCGGCAATGCGGACCGCGCCATGAAGGACCTAAGTACAACATCCGAGCCCTGCAGAAGATCAGGTGCTGCATACATACGAATGTCAGTATATGCGAATAGTGATATCAGCACCCCACGACTACATAGCAAGCCCCCACGTTTACCCCATCAGAGATTGCACTCGTTACGACAATGCCCAAGCCGCATCCAGCCCTGATTCGCGGGGATCGCTCGAGTGAGAATCATTGCTATGTTGTTTGATGTTCCTCTGGCGGGGTTCGATGTGCACACAGTGCTCGGGTCGGGGGAAAATCAGGACGGGAGGTTTTGGCAGTTTTCGGACTCTGGGGACCCTCGCCGGGTCCCTGGACCATTGAAGCAAGAGTCGGGATGAAAAGCTTGCCTTTGGGAGAGGGTCGGGACTTCGTGGGACCGCGCATCGAACAAAAACTGTGCGTCACTTGTCTTGGGCGTCGTCTGATTTAATAAGGCTTCGAGTTGCGAACAGACAGCTCCCACGGATACAGTCAACCCGCATAGTAAGGATGGGCAACCTTCCCAAGGGTACCCTGGCATCCTTGCCCCTTCGGCTCATCCTCAGCTACTTTCGCTGGCCAACCTCGTTCGAAAAACGGTCACATGGGCCTCCAAGGCTCCTGCATCCTTATCGAGCATTTGTGTGCTACGGGGTGACTGTAGTCCCGGTGGTCCCAGGCGGTCCTATCATTCTGGGGCACCCCCGGGGCGCTCCGCTGCCCCAAGATGGGGATGGCGAGACCGCGCCAGCGACTCCGGGGGGCCTGTTCAGGCCAGCCAGCATTACCTCGGGGGGGCTGTCTCAAGCAGTGGCGAAGCGTCCTGGCTCGCCTATAAGCCTACCAAAGAATGTTCCAAGAACCTTTTCATGGTCTGCACGACATGTTCTTAGAACATTTCTGGCTGTGACTGTGTTCGCGTTTATGGTCTAAGAACATTGTTTGAGTTATTCGAACATTTTCGGGTTCTAAGAACATTGTGTTGTAGGCCTGTAGGATTGCCAGGACGCTCGGTCCCTGCCTATCTGTCTGTCCGCAACCCGTGGCCTCGCCAGTCTGGGCGACCCAGGAACCATGGATCCGGTAGCAAATCATGGGAGCCTTGTGTAGTTTCGTAGTCTTGTCTTTAGCGTCGATTAGCGCTCCAGTTTAGCGCCACTTAGCGTCGATTGGCGTCGATTCAACGTCGATTAGCGTCGATTCAGCGTCGACTAGCGTGGATTCACAAGAGCCGACAAGATGGTATTGGAAGCTCCCATGAGTTGACACCGAACATGGAGCTCGGCTTAAGTCGGGCCTGTCTCTGGGATGTCCAAAAGTAGTCAAACAATAGTCAGGCGGCGACTTTTCGAGCATGTTTTTCCACTATGTGGGGTATGTTTTGAGTATTTTCAGATTTTCGCCCAGAATCCGCCTGCAGGGGGACAGGCCCGACCTAAAGCTCGGCACAGGCGCTCGGCGCACAGGCGCTCCAGCATCCCGTGGCCTGGGAAGCTGGCGCGTCTACTCGCTGAGATCTTTGCCAGTATCGGCGCATAAGCGTTCCAGCATCCCGCAGCCTGGGAAGCTGGCGCGTCTGTACGGAGGAGGAGGAGGAGGAGGAGGAGGAGGAGGAGGAGGAAGGAGGAGGAGGAGGAAGGAGGAGGAGGAGAGCCGACGAGAAGACCCGGTGCATGCGCCGGGCGCCTCCCAGGCGACGACGACGTGAGCGCGGAGATGGTGCGGGAGTCCTTGCTGTGCGCGGCGGAGCTGGGGCTGCCTGGAGGGGAAATAAGTCCCAGCGCCAAGGCCACTCTCCAAGGGGGGCCATCGGCACAAGTTGGACGAACGTCTTGAGCTGAAGGAGGAGGGGGAGGAGAGGAGGAGGAGACGCAGCCGATAGCCGCACAATCTGGTGAATTAAAGGAGGATGAGGGAGGATTGGCCCTGTGTGTCTGCGCCGCTGGGGGGGGGTCTGTTCGCCTGTGTACTTGGCGGGTGGACTGCGTTGCCTCATTCGATGGGTTCGGCCCGCCTTTCGTCGGGCAAACCCTCGGACTGATTGTCCTGAGGGGGGTACTCCGCGGCTTCCGCAGCCTCCGCCGCTTCCGCCGTGACTTCCCGCTCCTTTCACATGGCCTGCTGGTACAGCTGGAGGGGGGGGTCGTTCTATGAGCAGTACCCTGGTCACTGCAGGCTACCTCCTCTCGATTCCCCGCTGGGACGTCGTCGTCTGACCACGATGCGGGGGGTGGTATCGTGACCTCTGCCTCTACCGCCTCTCGGTTCCCCTCTGGGACGTCTTCGTCTGTCGACGCTACGGGGGTGGCACGCTGCCGCTGCTGCTGCTGCTATGCTCCGATGTGTCGTTGTGCGTTGCAGTATCCCCGGGATGGTCGTCTGTCGTTTGGTGGTCGCCGTCGTCGACGTGGTCGTGAACGTGGACGTGGTCGCAGTGGTGATCTGCGTCGTCGACGTCGACGTCGACGGGGAGGTCATCGTCGTCGTAGAGGTCGTCGTCGCGGTCACGGTCAGCGACGCTGTCCTTCAGCGCCTTCCAGTCGAAGTCGCCCGCCGTGACCTCGGAGCCAGCAGCCTGCTCCTGGAACAGCTCGCCTAGCGTACAGTAGGCCGAGATCTGCCCCAAGTTTGCCGCGGGGACTTCGGAGATGGCGCTGAGGTTCGCCCCCATGGCCAGTCGACCGTTCGCAATCTCGGCATCCAACCTGCGCTGCCTGACCGCGGCGTCG